CCTGCCGGTGAGGTTTGATCAGTTCGTAGCTTTTCTTCTGCTTTCTCGTCAATTTGTGTCTGTTTCTTTTTACTTGTTTTTGGTTTTGCTGTGTTTTATTTATGTTGCTTTTGTTTAAGTTACTAGTTGTGTTGTTTGGGTTTTTGTTCTTAAATAATCCTCTTTCTCAGCTTCGTCATGAGTTAGAGTTTCTTAGAATAGTTCTAGCTTTGGAAGTTAACGAAGTATTGTCGTGTTCTTTTGAGCCTTGTTGGCTGGTTTTAAGGGTTGCAAGTTTAAGTTATCCCTTTTTAGTTGGGTTGGTGGTCCTACTAGTAGCCTTGTCGGTGTGAATGTATTCCCCTCATAGTTAAATAAATTCTCCGGGGGATGAAGTTATTTGCCCGGATGGATAGGTTTTTCTGCATATGGAATTTGCAGGAGGAGTGTGTTGAGGGAAGAGTTTAGTTTGCAGGTCTTGTTGCTTGGGTATGGGATGATATGGGCATTCATACAATTGCTATCATCCCTTTGATAGTTTGGGTTGGCAAGGTCAGTCATCGCTGTTAATTCATATCTTGAAGGAGGCTACCCATCTTTGATGATCGGGTCAAGCAAAGTCCTCCATTTTCTTGCATTATCTATTGGTAGAGTTGCAAGAAGAGAAACTGCATTTGGATGCATGGTTTCTCATAGAGTCGTTAAAGAAAATGACTCAATAGGTTGTGTTCCCAGATTCCTAGGTTGCAGATGTGTTTTTCAACCCCTAGGAGTGTAATGGTGTTCTAGGTTCGTTCTTCAGCAACATGATGCATTTTTTGGGTTCTTCCGTCTCCCATCTATTTCCATCATGAGTTTCCTTCACTGTCACTGTCACTGTCATTGTCAGTTTGGGTTCTCTTCAATGTTTATGATATGCGCTCTTAGTCCATCTCGACTGTTTCAGTTAATTTGGCTTCTCTTGGGCCATGGTAGGGATGTGGTTCGGTTTTCTTGGTTGTCCGGGCTCAGCAGCTATTGGTTTGTTGCAAGACTCTTTCAGTGTGTTATTTTCTTCGTTCTTCCTGTAATGGGTATGGTTAGTAGTATGTATCTTTTATGTTGTTTAGTGTTCGTTTTTAGGTTGTAATACCCTTTTTAGTTAATAGTATCTTTTGTAGAAAAAAAATAAAAAAAAATAAAAACATTAATAACGAAAGCATAAAAAGTTGCACATGTTAGTTAGGAAGAATGTAGGAATGTAGGAACTACGAAAGGAGAGTCAAACAGAATGGAAGACCATCCCACAATTAAGAATTAACAAAATCGATCTTCTTAGTGGTCAGACGTTACAGCTTGAATGGTCAACATTTTATCCCAGTCAATGTTGACTAGTAGACACCGTTGACTATATTCTTACAGTACTCCTTATTTTATTACCGTCCATCCTTGAGCTCTTGAATTCTTGTTTCAGAAAGAGGAAAAAATTTACCGTGTTGGAATAATAATTTTTACCTACCGAATTAATTTTCCTGATTTTAGGTTCTTTAATTTTATACTCTTACTAGTATTTTCACTTATTTTATGAGGTTTAATAAAATAAGTAAAAATCAGATGAAATATAATGTACTACTTCGTATAAATCACCCTTCTTTAATAGTTTTATAGATATTGTCTCACACTTTTAGTTAGTTGCACTCAGTTCATTAGTCACTTTTACATGATTCTAGCTGTTACTTAGTTGCAACTAGTTCATTAGTTACCTTTAAAGCTATACTTAAACTTCATAATAATATATTAGTATTAAAATACTTTGTACAATAATTAATAAGGAAAAATGTAATAAATTTATATTTACAAAATACTTCATCTGTTCTTTTGTACTTGACCTGTTTCTTTTATCACGCTTGCCAATGCAAAACTTTAACGGTCAATAACTTTAATTCTCTATAATTAAAAAATATAAAAGTTATATATTATGATAGTACTTATTGAGACGAATTCAAAATGATCCAACATGAATATGTATTCCTTACATATTATTCACAAAACACGGTCAAAGGAGGGGTGGTGAATAGTGTAAAAGTCAAAGAGAGTCAAGTAAAAAAAAACAGAGGAACTATACATTTAGACGAATCTAATCTTGTTTTTTCTCAAGTATAAATCACATAAATTTGTAGAAATAATTTGTATATACAGTCAAATATCAATGTGAGTAAAGTAATATTAAACCAAAGAAATAAGACTTTATTAATAAGTTCTTTTACTACGTAATATTTTTTTTAATACATACGTAGTATACTATTAATAGGGGATTAATCTATTAATAGTCATAGTCTTTGTTCTACGAGGCAATATATTACTTGTAATTGACAATTTTGAGAGGAGTCAGGACTGGGTCTGGTCATTGCCGCCAGTCTATAGGATGTCTTATTTAGTTATTTATTTAAGTTTTAGATCCTTTTGATTCACTCTAATTGTTTAATTTATAAAATTAAATTATAAATTAATAATTAAATAATTGGTGATAGATTAAACTTTATAAACAGTTTATACTTTTTCTAAGTAGTACTCCCTCCATTTTTTAATTAGTGTTTTATTTCACTTGGACATGCATATATGTCGATACAAATCTTTAACTAGCAGTAAAGTATAAGTTATAACAATTGCTAATTAATAATTTATTCAGTGATATGATTTTAACAAATATCGACAAGGCTATTTTTTTGTTATGTTTAAATCATAAAAATTAATCAAATTCGGTAAGTAAATAGTGCAAAAGGTGCTAATAAACCGAAGGGGTACAAATGTACAATATTGAAAATGATGATAAAATACTTGTATAAGGCTTAATATCTACTCCTTGTGCAGTTTCGGATATTTTATAAAGTCTTGGTCTCTTGATATTATGCCAAAGTGGAAACTTCTTCACAATACAATGGAATTGCAACAAAAATAATTGATTGGGAAGAAGGGCTTGGACATTGATGTACATTGTGACCTATGTGATTTACAAGAGGAGGATTTACAACAATTGTTCAAATTTTGCGCATCTACTCAAGATGTATGGAGGGGTGAATGGTGAATATTACAAATTCACTCACAAGGTAACACAGATCAATCATTTAATGATTGAATTATGTAATACATACAATAATTTTTTTGGGAAGATATGGTCGTCGTCTTAGCTAGTGGTCATATAAGACCACCTTTTTTGTTGCAACCTTGTGGGGGTTGTGGTTAACGAGGAACAAATAGGGTCTTGGGTTGCCAAGAACAATACACTTTATGATACCCGCCATTATTTCTTAAGGCATCCGATAATCAGGATTTGTTTTCACAAAGATTATTGGAGCTGAGGACAAATTGAGGTCCTTGAACCCACCTGCATGGGTTGCTTGGTGGCCTCTGGGATTTATGTGTGCTATATTACACGATTCTGGTACTCTACATCCATTTCCTAAATTAAGGGTCAATTCCCATACATTTATTTTCAGTTCAGTTCAGCTCAGTCCAGTTCAGTTCAGTTCAGCTCCTAATTTTCTTCTCTTATAAAATATTAATTTTAGTTCAATTCAGCCGAATTCAGTCTATGAGAACAGGCCCTAAATGTCATATTGGAGGATGGTTCTTGGAATAAACACATGCATAGATTAGGAATGGGGGGGGGGGGGTGTCCGGAGAATATGACCTAGGGGGACCTGGGAATTGTGGGAGGAGCTTCACTTGGGTTGTTTGAGTCTATGTTGCATGCTGAGATGGATGCTTATCTGGAAGGTCTTTGTTGGGCAATTAGGAGTTTCTGAAAGGCGGTTACTTTTTGCACAGATTTAATCTCAATGGTTTAAGCTTTCAAAATTCAAAGGTGGACACTGGAACATATTCGACGGCTTTGCAGCGCGTTTGATTGGTGCAGTGTTCACAAGAAAATACATGTCATAAAGGCTCAACATTAACTTATTTCGTGGATCATGTCATATTAGCTTTTGTCAACTTATTAACTGTAACAATAAAAACAAAAAAAAAGTAGATAATTGTAGTTACATTTTTAATCAAATAGATTGAGACATTTAATTTGTTAATATTATTAATAATAAAATTATTTGTCAATAAATCTAAATTATTGTTTTGAAAATGACATTTGAGAAGAATGGAATCAGTAGATGTTACAAAATGCCGAAATGGATATTCAACTTGGGTTATAAGTCATAAATAGTGTGTTAAGCCTGCGTGATTAGTTTTGTTTTTTTTTTTTTTTTTTTTTTTTTTTTAGAATACTTTGCAAAGTTGTCATATTAAAACTTTCCTATTGATTTTTTGTAAACCTATTTCTTATAAAACTATATCATGCATGTATGTAATTCTAAAATTACATAATAAGAAGGGTATGTTCTCATTGACCGAACTGAACTAAACTGAATTGAACTGAAATGAAATAAATATTTTATAAGAGAAGGAAATTTGAAGCGAAACTGAACTGAATTTCAACGTATGAGAGTAGACTCTAAATGTACACTGAAGTAAAATGATAAAAGTATCATAGAGTAATCATATAAATCCAAATAAGAAAACACATATTGTCTCTACAAACACTGTAAAAACGCTTTTTATGTAATTTTCGAGGTAAAAACATGGGATAAATTCATTAGATTATCTTATGAATTTATGACCCTTCCAAGAAATATTCATGTATCACTATTAAGAAAAAAAATAAAATCAAACGTTTACCACAACATAACAAAAAGCCAGGTTCACCTCACTTACCATAAAGCACCAAAAAGCATTCTTATGTAGTACTAATTGTCATGTTTACCACTAATAATTGACTGATGGTAATTTAAACGAAATTTCCCACCAATAATTTAAAAAATCCTAAATTAATTTTCCAAGATAATTTGGGTTGAATTTTCTTATATTTCACACGGTCACAATCCACGTGGACCCAGTTTCTGGAACCCACGTGTAGGGCCCATGACGTGGACTGTTGTCTTAAAAAAATTGCTTACCTTTCTTTCCTCTACATTTTATATATAAACCCACGATCTAGCTATCGTCATTATCCTTCTTTCTTTCTCTCTCTAACAAAAATTATTTCATTTTTTCTCTCTCCTCTGAAAATCAAACAAATTTCTAGGGTTAAATTCAGGTAAATTAGTTCAATTTTTTTGAACAAAAATCATGGAAGAAAATCAGAATCTAGTTGAAAATGAAGAATTATTGGAAATTTCTGATAAATTGGACAAAACCCTAACCCTAGAATCGTCATCAACGCGTCAATCTGATGACGATGAAGAAGAGGAAGAAGATGAAAATGGCGACGAAAATGAGGAATTTGAGTTTTGTTTTCTCGGAGGAGGTTTAAAATCGCCGGTTTCAGCGGAGGAAGTGTTCGAAGACGGTCAGATCCGGGTAATCTCACCGTTTTCCAGCGAATATACCGGCGACGGAGAGACGTCATCATCGTCGTCGTCGTACGGCCGTCCGGTGAAGAATGTGTTCGTAGTATCAAACTCGCCGGAAAATGATGACGTGGCGGAAGAAGGATCGTACTGCGTGTGGAAAGCGCCGTCGCCGGAGATGAGTCAGAAGAGCAATTCGACGGGATTCTCGAAGCTTCGGAAGATGAGAGATTTGTTACATAGGAGCAATAGTGACGGGAAAGACGCGTTCGTGTTCCTAAACGGGAAAAGCGACGCTTCGGGTTCGGCCGAAGCGAAAAGGAAGGAGAAGGAGAAGAAGAAGAAGAAGAAGGAGTTGAAGATAGAAGTGGGGGAGAAGAAGGGTGAAACGACGTCGTTAGGAAAAGAAGGGAAGAAGAAGAAGAAGGAGAAGTCGGCGTATGAAGCGTTGTATTTGGGTGGAGGGAAAGACAAAAGGAAAGGCGGTGGGAAATCGTATTTGCCATATAGGCAAGATTTGGTCGGCTTTTTTACAAATGGTAGTGCTTTGAGTAGAAATGTTCATCCTTATTAATAAATAAAATACCCTTATAATATCATTTAATTAGTTTTATAACAATATAATTTGTTTATTTTGTTTTGTAAATTGAAGAAAAAAATAAAATGTGAGTTGGGAGTTGATAATTAATTGTATGACTATTGGCTTGCATTTTTGTTGATATTATTGTATAAGGGGAAGATGTAATGCTAAATGCCTTTAATTGTTTTTTTTTTTTTATTTAATTTTGATATCTTCAGATTATATTCATGTACGAGTAATGTTATCATGAAATTATGGGCAAGTGTACATAAATAAACTAAAGGCCCTTTTTATCACCTCAATTTGCATGCATTCTAGTAAAGTACTTGTTATATGACCAATGATATGAAATTTTGGTCTTTTACAATCATTATCTCAAAACATTTCGAGAAGAAGATACACTAATGATATATTCACTTTCTTCATTTAACTAACAAAAATTTGTCTTACATTATACGCATAATAACAATTTCACAACTACTTGTCTACTTGTATAGTTAGTTGTATGAGAGTGTATGACAAAGATTTCATACCTCCAGGTTGTTGATATTAAGAAGAAGAGTTGTGATGCTAATTTTTTTGTCATATTGTAAAGTTGGTGCCAAAAATTATACTTTGTAGATAACTTAATTAATGTCTCTGTCACAAGACTTTTGCTTCTTATTCACATATAAAAGATTTAAAATCATAATATACGAGTATTTTAATTTTTGTCACGCCCCATCATTAGTTGACAGAATGAAACGTTAATTGGGGCTTATAATAATGTACAATTGATGTTTATGACCGAACAAACCAAGATCTTCAACAAAATACTTATGGTTAGGGTTGAGATGAGGCATCTATTGCTCATAGATGTTGAGGCTTGATTGAATATAATAATGGTTCTATTACTCGAAGATGTTGATGCTTGATTGATAATAATGGTGAGGTAACTGATAGAATTGTTCATTATGTTAATGACAATTACTTGCACTAGTCTATTAATTGTGCTTGCAACATGTTATGTAAAAGATGAGTTCATTCATATATGCAATAGGAAGAACTTGCAGCAGGTGATAGTGCATAGACGCATAGTACATTAGTACATTAGATGTGTGTGTAGTTAGTAGTTACGTCTTATATACTTAAGTGTTACTTTGTTGGTAAGGTAACGTCTTTGCAATTAAGGAGTTAGGAAACAAACATCTTCTTGCAAGGTGTACCGTGTACATCAATGTCAAGGTAAGTGCTACATATTTTGTTGGTAAGACTCTCACAAGTGAGCTATAATGGGTTTTAACACACCCCCTCACTTGAGTGTCCTTAGAAAATCAAAGCTAAGAATATGAAATGGGTCTAGTTAACCCAAACAAATGGAAAGAGGGTTCGGTCCACAAACAAAACCAAAATAGGTTTCAAACTAAAATCAATTAGTGATATGTATGAGTAACTCCTCTACTTTATAAAGTAAAAACATCTTCCCTGTTTCAAATTTCACAAATGTGGGACATTCATAAGTAAGCTACGAGCAATACCAGTACGTACCCACTCTATTTTGCATTTCTTGCTTAATTTAATAGCTACACCCTTGGTTTCTTAAGGAAGCTCATTTAGACTATGCTTTCTTCAATATGGTCCTTGGTCTAAGTTTATTAAGACATGTTCAATTTTGGTAAGTTGCAAAATAATCTCCTGGAGTCTTGTACCATATTTTTTAAAAAAAAATAATAAAAAAATAAAAAGGCAATCATGTGAGAATTGATGATTATTTCTCAATGTGTAGTTTGCAAACATCTAATTATAATGTTGCAATTGAAGTTATTTACTATATACAAGTATAAGAAAACAGGTCTAAAGTCTAAACTATAATCATTGGATATGATCTTATCATATTTGAACAAGAATAAGTAATATGAGACTTATGAGTAAATACTTGAACCATGTTTAAATAACCTTTATAAAAGCCAATTTCATTTTATTAGTTGACATGTTTTGACTTTTAACATTATTCATACAGTTTGCTTTGACTTCTATAGATTTGTGATTTATAGTTACGGAAACTTTAGTCATGGTATCTTGTTAGATAAATTATTAAAGTATATAAAAAAATATATTATATTAAACATGTCAATTAAAAAGAACGGAGAGAGTACATTCATTCTTATTGGAGATCAACTGGTCTGTAGAGTAATCGAGAATGATTAGTTACTTCATATGTAAAAGTTACAAAACAAATCAATATTCATTTATGTTTGTGCCTCTCTAATCTCCATGCAAATGACCCATCATAAAATGATCATAGGGATACATGCAATCACTTTAAGCGGGGATCTAAATGCTTAATTAACATAATCACATATTAACATGATTATTGTTCCTATCCCAAAGATAACAAAGAGGTTACTTTCAAATTTGCCATTATTATCCTCTAATAATTGTAATACGAGTACATATTCATATTTTTAAAATAACATAAAAGTACTTTATAATTAAATATAATCACAAATTAGGCAATTTCTCTTTTAGAACAGTATGGTCCTACAAAGAGAGTACATCATATGGTACCAAAAAAATACAGAACAGAGTGACAGTTCACAAGCAGCTAGCTTATTCAACTAGTGCTAACTATTCTTGACCATTTAAAAAAGATGTAATATCAACATTTTGCTCAGAATTGGATATTTTATGTTCCTTTTATTAATTAGTACAACAATAGAAAACAAATAATGCAAATATGCAATAATCTCAAATATCTACTAGAAACTTGAATTTCAGTTACACGTTTGGTGTATCTATCGTACGTAAACCCAAGGGAGGCCAAGACTTGTTTATTGCATCTTTGCTCGTTTTAATAGGTCGCTCCAAATGAACAAAAAAAAAAAAAGAGCGTAAATGTATCATTATGATATACACGAGTGTATAGTGAATATTATGGTGTTCACACATTATGTTAACTTTCCTCACGTTTCAGTTTTTTGATATAATAACACTGATCGATACTACATTTTGCTAAATAATTCAGTTTTTTTCAAATAGTTAAAACTAATTTTTGTAAGTTGAAGAGAGAAAGGCAATAGTTGGTCAAACTAATACTTGAATGTTGTAATTCATCTCAACAGTGTCTTATTCAAATGGGAAAAACAATACATCTGTTTTTCCCCCTATTGAAATATGCACAACTGGATGCAGTTACTAGAGATTATCTGTATGACTATGACTGTATATACCTTATCTTCCACAAATGTCAGTACAAACTTGAACTGATGCAAGCTAAACTAAGCTCAACATGCTAAATTCTCATGCATACCTCTTTTGTCTATTCACACTATCACAAGTAGAAACCAAGCAAGGTTCGGTCATATCAACGCAAGTCGAAAATTTCGAATCTCAAGTTTGGGTTGATATAAACATGTGAGCATTGTTCATACAATGGCCTCCCGTCGCTGGATTCCTGGTGAGGGTGGAATCCTTTCTCTTCACATTCCTTAAGAACGTTCATACCGCTAGGATCTGTCAGCCGGAATATACCGTAGTTCCTGTAGGACATCAATAATCAGAGTAACAGCTCAGTAAATTATTCCTGCATCCACCTAGTAGTACAAGTACCTAAAATAAAGAAGAAAAAAATGTCATTCAGCTCAATAATTTGTCCTCCCTTGCTTGTTATTTACTTTTACTGTTTTTCATCATTTTACATCCTGGTGTATTCGTGCAATATGAGACATTAGCGCTAAGTACAGACCTAATGTGTGTTTGTATGCACTTACGGAAATATCTACCAGGAAAAACAACGATTAGTAAATTAAAGACAAGGGAGAACAAATCATTGTATCTTTCAAAGAGTCGAATGATATGTCATTCTCAATTAAGCTGTGCTTGTCGTCGTATACTAAATTCAATTTTCTTAAATATCAACATGATGCTCCAATGACTAACTGAGGTAATTAACAAGACTATGGGAGAAACATATAATACGGAGTAACTAGTTATTCTTTTCCAAATGCTAGAAGAACAAAAGCATACATGGGCATTTATCTGTTGCACATATGACATATCAAGGCAATGAATGCTAGGAACTTAAAATGACAAATGAGACTGCAGAGTGCAGACCTTGTCTTATCAGTGGGAGCCATGACAATAGCGATAGCCTCTGGCACCATCACCTGCATAACAACAGGAAAGCTGATGAGGTAGTACGGCAAATCAACATCAAAATTACCCCAATACCTCTAAAGATGCTTCCGACTTTAGAATAACAAATTGGTTACAAACAATACACAATCAAAATTACCCCAATACCTCTAAAGATGTCTCCGACTTTAGAATAACAATTTGGTTACAAACAATACACAATGAATCATACATACATTTATAGGCCATTCTAAGTTAATCGATTATAGTTCAAACGCAAATAACAGTTAACCTTTGAATCCAAAATGAAGAAACGGTAGATAGTCCCATTTAAAATAGATAAAGATTTCAAAGAATGTAGTAATTTCAATCAGATTTTGAATTACAGGACAACAGTTGTAACACCTGTACACCCGTACCAGCACATCAAGAAAGGGATAAAAGCATATGCTTTGGGATAGAACTTCTTTTACACAAGACTTTAGTATACATAAAGGAACAAATTAAATTGGGTTTCAAATATATGAAGGGACCTCAGCTGATTACCTGATATGGATACTGCGTATGTAGATCTATCGATGACATGAAACAACTTTGTGAAGGATGTGTCTGGCAAGTAGAAAAAATCAATCTATTCAGAGATTCTTTGTGTTTCTACGTATAAACAAACCTTCACACTTAAATACACAAATATTCCAAAAAGATAAGTGTATTGATTCAAACATGGTCAAGCAAAGACTAAAAAAAATTTCTATGTTTACAAAGAACAATTTAGAGGTTATTTAAGCGGAAGCAAGAAAGGAGACATACATGGATCCATCCTACAGGCAAAAGGGAGCGATCATTCTGTATGTTAAAGATGTCCTCTTCATGCAATGCCTGACACTACAATAACAACAATAAGACCAATGCAAGCTACTAAAATAAGATATCATATTGAAGATGCAGAGTAGCAACATGAAGGTATTAACACAGACTCACTGAACTGGAAGTTGATTCCTGCTTAGGTATTATCAACGTGGTAGCATAGAATGTCTCGTTTGTCTACATGGACAAATCAGAAAACATGAATTAGTTCAAGATTGAGACGGCTGTCATCAGCCAACCACTGTAAAATACTAAACTTAAAGGTCTACAGGCAACATGGACATTTGGACACATATTGAAGCATATATCTAAACATCAAAGCAATTAAAATGTAAAAATTTTATTTAAAAAGGAACTATAGAATTTTAATGAAGGAGAATAATACTAGAAAGCAGGCATAATGCAAAGATGCTGGCTTGGTTTTAGACTTTTAGCGAATGAAATTAGGTTGATTTTCGTGTGCAAAAACAAACCAGCAGGCTTTTTGTCAAAAATCTTTAAACTTTGGGTTGCCAGGGTGATGTTAGAATTTTAAGCAAAACAAATAGAGGAATAAAAAAGTAAGTAAAAGGGGTGCGTGGAGATATATATAAGAGGCTTACAGGGAGCTTGTACACAAGCCAACAAAGATTAATGGATAAATGGATTGTGATGATGAGCAACGCTTAATGGTAACAATGAAGCAAAGCTCCTTAAAGCATATCATTTCAACTAAGATTGAACAGACAAAAGAAATAGAAAAGAATCTTACTAGGGAAGCACCAAGAACCCCACATGTCTCGAGATCCTTGTTGGTGTTGTTACGAGCAATTTCAAGAAAAACCTCCATTAATTGTGCGGACTGATATGAAAATCAAACATTACTAAAGCAACCTTAACATTTGAAAATATAAAGGTATATGAAACAAGAAACGAAGTTTGACACCTGCAAAAGCCCATATACTGTATAAAGTAATTCAAGCAGATTACTTACAATATGTAATTTTTTGAGGCCAAGCATCGCAGATTCTGAATAAGTATATCGTGAATCACCAACTGTTACTTGTGAAACTTGTGCAGCATAAGGTGCAACCTCCGTGCAGGAAATTGCAGCTGAAGGATGATGGGTAACCATTTTCTAAAATCCTGTGTCAAATATTAACACAAGTGATTGATAATTATATTAATATTTTTTTTTTATGAGAATAAAGCGCAATAGATTCATAGAAGCAGATGTTGATTGCAGTGAGTTAGAAGTCAAAATATATCAATTCATTTGAGGCACACAGATCACTGGGAAATGAAGGTTCATATTAAATGTTTTCGAAACACCTCATATGAAAGAGAAATGCTATGTTGTATATGCCTTGGCTACAGTTATCTATAAGCAACTAATCACAATTCATAAGGTTAACACTAATCTTCTGCAGCTATTCTAACATTAATCTTATAGCTCACGATTAGCAGTTCCACATTGTGCTAAAAAATTTCCAGGTGCAGATCAATATCGAGGATACAAAACTCCGAGTACTAACATTTGCAAATGTGACTTCTAATTTCATTGAAGTACAGGTTAAAAACTAAACATTTTCCTCACGCAGAGGACCATATCTAAAGTGCACATAGAAGTAGCAAAAAGTCCAAGATGCAACATACTTCGTAGTCGTATGAAGAAGGAGAACATGCAGCCTCATAAAGTCCACGAAAAAAATTCATATAATCATATAATCCATACAACTCTTTCTTTGGAGCTAAATGATTCAGTGACATATTAATCTTTAGCTTTGGATTGTTATATAATTTAAGAAAATCCTGAAGTCAAGGATCATTCACCATAAGCTTTACTATTACAACAATATTTTTCTCCGTATCATTTTTCAAGATGCGTTTAGAAGTATATTTTTTTCAGCTGGCCATTTCATTTATATTTATGAGGCTAATCTCTGTACTCAATCACCAAACGCCTTAAACTAGTGAATAAAAGGGAGTGTAGTGTAGACACATTAGTATTTTCTCCATAAACTATGCTCAAAGTACAATCTGAAGCATAAAAAAATTTATGCACTCCACAGGCCCACACCACTTGGTATGTTGGGCATTGGGTTGCCTTGGTCTTGTTCCTTTCTATATAACCGTTACAAAAATCCAACTATTCTCTTGATGCTTCATGAAGCATCATGATCAATTTGAATAACTCTAAGCTAGCAACATCACATCATTTAAATTAATATACATTCTTTTACTAAATACGCGATCACATCATCTAGTATCTTTATTCCAAACGTCGAAAAAGTCAACATAGCTTTGATGATCAATAAGCCTAAGAAAGCATGTAATCATTGATAATAATCACTAATCTTCCAACAACCCATATGGGAATAAGGAATATATCCATTCAATTGATATTCCTAACCCAAACAAGAGATTATCAGATACAAATATTTTTTTTTTTTGAATAGATCAGATACAAATATATATTGATAAGGAAATGCTTGCAAAACAACATTCATTATTAAACTCCCTCCGTTTTTTTTTTTATTTAATGTATCACTTCAATACTTGGTAACTTAATACTACGGAGTATATTTTATCATTTTACCACTTATACATTAAATCTTACTTCAATTATTTTATCATTTCTCTCTTTTCTATGTTCTCTCACGTAAATTCTCTTTCATGGTCTTCATCTTATTTTTATACTAAAATAAATTCTTCACCCACTTATAATATTATATACATCTCCTAAAACTCCGCACATCACTAGTGAATAAGTGATGCATTAAAAAAATGGAGGGAGTATGTTACATGGAGACAGAGACACCGGCACGATTACGTAACGATACATTTAGTTACAACTTTTTTTATGGGTGGATATTCAATCTGTCCAAGCTTGTGAGAATGTTTTTGTCTATACAATTGACATTAAACATGCCAACTTCTAGAAGTGTTCGTGCTACCTAGAGTAAAAGTTATACTCAAAGTTACTCCAAAATTAGTTACTAGAGTGCATACCAACATCTAATTATATCAAACAAACACAAAACATATACCATTGTTGATTGTCAAATTTTAATAAACAATAGAGTATCAATTAAGGAGGGTGATCAATAATTCAATATCCCAATTAGACCAGTAATTCAACTGATTGCAAATTGGCCCCACTTCAAAGAAATGGGTACCACCTTATAAAATCAAGAAATACAAAGGAAAAAGAAAAGCCCAGACAAATATCATTATATCAAGATCATATAAACCAAAAAAAAGGTAAAAAATTTATAAATTATAGCACCCATAAGATAGAATAATCCATCTAATTAATCAAAACAAGGTAGAAATTATCATATCCTTAAAGCTTAACAGGATGAATTATGATTTGAAAGTTGAAGCATGATGAATATGAAAAGATGAGATTTAGAAGAGAGAGAATTACATACCTTGCAACAAAATTCTGTGATTGATGTCAGTGGTTAATCCTGCATGTTACGCAATTGGAAAGAGAGAGAGAAAGAGAGGGAGGAAGAAGAAGAATTGCAGAATGAATAGGTCGGTTACTGGTGTCCTCTGTTTCAGGAAATGTGTAGTTTCTTCAAATAAGAAATTGGGTAAATTTTGGGTATAAACACACAAAAACTTTGTGACTTTGTGGACCATTATTGTTAATTCGGATAACAAACAAATCTTGTTAAAGTCAAAAACAATTTTTTGGGGGTTATTTTAGCCATTTACGGTAATAAAAAAAAAAGTAGTAATATACTTGGAACCTCTTTTGATTTATTGAACTGATATGATTGGAGATAAACTAAGTTAGAACTGAAATGATTTGTTTATGACAGAAGGAAATTAAAACTGAAATGAACTAATTCGAGTTGAACTGAACTGAAATTAATTCTATTTAGCTTATTAATTCTATTAAGATAAATAGAACTAATGATTATGTCACTTTTTTAAAATATAAAAATACAATTAAAAAAAAAACTATTAGCTTATTTTTTGGAAGTACGTTGAATAGTTTTTTTTTTTTGAGCTAAATCAATTCATTAATAAAGTCTTACGACATCTACATTGTATAGTTTTATTGGGAATAACATGCATCATTTATTTAATATAATGTATATTGTATACTGTTTATAAATATTTTCAACACAACTAATCACTAATGTTTTTTTTTTCTCAATTGTAGTTTTAATAATTTTTGCATTATTATTTTATTTTTCATATATGCATTGTATTTCTTTATTCCACGAGTTGCCTCATTTTATATTTTATCACAAATTAATTATAAGAAAAAAATTATTACTTCATGCACGGGCCCTAATATAGTAAAATTTATTAAAGTGAAATGAGTGGATACATATATAAATGCCCAATGTAAAGTTGACAAAGAAGACATTCCATCTATTTAAAAAGAGAGCAACCATTATGTAATATATTCATTTCAATTAATAAAATAAAATCCAACTCTTCCAAATCAAATGAATATGAACCAATAATTTATGCTAGCAGTCAAATTGCTCCAATTTAAATGGCATTAGGTTGGGTCAGGCTGAAAACCATACGGGCGCATAATTTTAAATTGGGCCTAAGAATGGCACATGAGCCTAATTGGATCACCATCTAAAAATTACTTCCCCGGTTTTTGTAAGATGACACCGTTTGACTTTTACACTATTCACACAACACGCTTAGACTCGTTTTTGTGGTTTATAGATATGATAAATCATATTTATGTGAGATCTTGTTTGAATCGTTTCAATGTATATTTTATTAATATTCACTTTTAACAATTTTCAATTTTGATAATTAGAGATATTAATTGTTAAAAACATGCGTTGGCAAGCGTGATAATAGAAATGTTTCAACTAAAAAAAACAGAGGAAGTATATTGCATCTCAACACGTAGCTTTGTGGGCTTGTGTGTTTGTTTAGACCAACCCAAAGCATGCAGACATGGCTACATGAGGCACAACCTACACATAATCATCTTCACCTGATCACTAGCCTTTCTTGTTAGGCCAAGTCCGAGGATAATGATGTAGACACAAAGTTTAATCTTATTATATGGTAGACAACATCAATCTTTCAAGACTTTAACCAACTAGATAGAAGGTTTAGTTTGCATATTTTTGTTGTTAATTTTTTTTTTTTTTTTTTTTTGGGCGTATATATGCACCCGATATGTAATGTGTTAATTAAAACAAATGACAAGACACGAGATAAGATAGAGAAGTCTTACTAATTAGTTATTACGCGTAGCCTTAGAATTCCGTGCATTTTCCATTATGCATGAAGTAATTTCGTATGATTGTATCTTCTCAATACCTTAGGTAGTTGGCCTATCCGCATATTTAATTTAGTGATTCAGCTACAAGTTAAAGGCACTCTTGGCATGATCGATGCGAGGTATTAGTTAGGCCTAGTTCTAATCCATCTAGTTAGTTATTAGTTAATTAACATCCTTTTCTTTTTTTTTTCTTTTTTTTTTTGTTTTTTTAATTTTTATTATATTACATCCGTTTATAGTTGTCTCATAATCTGCAACCTTAAGGTTTTATTTATGAGATATAAAAAATTTCAAAGTTGCATATTACCATTAACGGAGGTAGTAATTCAATTATTTATGAGATATAAAAAATTTCAAAGTTGCATATTACCATTAATGGAGGTAGTAATTCATGGGTAAGCAACCTTTGTAGTATATTCTAGACTTCATTTAATTTGCATAGATAAGACGTATGACCATTGTATGAGTTGGATTGATGATGAGATATGTCATGGTGGATGAGTTGAAAATCCTACATATATTAAATAAGAGACAAGACCAACACATGCTAATATTGTACTCAATCATTTGGTAATGAACATTATATTAGTTATATAAGATAAGCTTAACTTTCTATATATATCAAGTGAAGGCTCTAATTAGACTTACTAATTAATTAACAATATACATCTATCTATATTTATGGTTTAAAACATGTATTTAATTAGAGTTCTAACTAACTTACAATAAACAAACATCAAGTACGCCTTTAGTGATATAATTATGAACGAACATGCCTCGGGATCATATCACAAGTAACTCGATCATAAACCTACCTCTATTAATCTTCTTAAAATTGATAGAGTATAAAATATATCCCTAGGCCTCAACCATCAGGTTAAGCTTTTGGTTGAATTGGTTAGTAGCTTAGTAAAGATAAAAACAGCAGAATTGTAAATCAAAGTGAACATGCAACCACAAAATTCAAGCTAGGTTGTAGCTTAGTAAAGATAAAAACAGCGGAATTGTGTACACACATACATCTTACCAATGATCTCATTAACAAATTTTTATCTAATATAAGTTTGGATTTGCATGGTCATGAGAAAAAAATGTGGACCATAAAATGATAAAATAGAAATAGATTAAACCAATCTTTAGCGTGACATTCTAATCTACGGAAGTTAGCCATTAGAAGTGCAAGTTGCTTTTCCATTCGCTTTCCTTATCTTATTTCTCTACACGCCAACAAAAATATATATAATTGTCCATCTATTATATTTCTCCCACTTTTTTGGTGTCTTTCTTAAATTAAAGAGTGTTTGTCTCAACGAAATTTCATTTTGCTATTTTTCTTATATTGTCTACAATTATTTCTTCCTCACAAAAACATAAAACTTGTATTTAAGTAGGTTTTTGGCATTTGGAGTTGCCATCGTCTTTGCTACCTTGTATACAACTACACTTGCCTCTCTGAGCTCTCTCCCTTGGTAATTGGTAATCTCATTCCCCTTTCTTTCGTGCATGTTAATTAATTACTTTCTCTGTTTTACGTAGCTTATTTTTTTTCCTAACTCATACTTTATGTCACGTAACATATATATTAATAAACTTATTGTTATAGCCCGGCTCTAAATGATGAACAAGTGTCATTATGATTATGCCCTATTTCATGTCGGTTTGAAAATTGGTTATATTAGTTATAAATATTAATGTATTGTACGGAGTAATAAATTACACTTTTTTTTTGGGTGTATAAATAACGTAAATAAACACTTGGTCATGGAAGAACGAAGTAAATAATGGAAGATATTATCTTTTTTGGTGATTCATTGTGCTTATGTCCTATGTATATATATAACAGTTATAACTCTTTTAAGAACCACCATTCCACCAATAATACACAGTAAAAGGATGAAAACTATGATGTACAAAAAGCAACTTTGAAAATAACATAAAGTATTACACGTACATAATTTAAGTCTCTTAATAATAAAATAAATTCATTAATAAATACTTGTAGGTTATTAGTATGAGCAAATACATAGTATGTACTCGGTATTTGTTTTTAATTAATTGTACCGCTTTCATTTTCGAATAGAAGTCTCATTTTTCTTTTGCACATATATGTAAGAAAGCCAAAAAGGTGAACTGAAAAGGAAAAAAGGGGGGGGGATAGTGATATTTGGTTAAGTATAATTAAGACATAAAAATTAAGATAGAGATTAATTAAAAATAATAAATTTAAAAAAAAAATTTAAAAAAAGAAAAAAAAAAGTGAGATTTGACTGATTAAAAGTGAAATGGTAAAGACAAACATTTAAAAATAAGTTACCTTAAAATGATTAAAAGTTACCCTATAATGAATGAAAGTTAATAAAAGTTATTTAACCTTTATGAATAAATATTACCCTAAATTCAACTAAAGTAACCTCGATGTAAAGTAATTATACAAAAGTTTTTAAATGGTACTCCGTAAATTGAAACGCTCCTTTAAAGACAAGAGTTTTAGATGAAATTAAACTTATGGTCTGTATATGGAGACGAGGAGAGTACGCAATTGGTGGTAAATTGATTTACAGATTACAGATATGTGATATGTGGTGTTTTTAGTTCCTTGCTTCAGATGGATAACACAAAGGCCACAAATTGCTGATCGGTTAGTCTCAATCTCAACTAATTCCAACCCCTCAACGAACGGCATTTAGTAATTTTTGCTGGGCCTTGTTACTGAAAGCTGAATACATTTAAATCTAAGGGCCTACAATGACTTCTACCAGTCCATAAAAGGCCCATATTTTTTAAATGTCATGTACAATTTAGTGGTATTATTTGTAATATATAAAAGATTTCAAATTTGAACATAACATTTAACAGATGTAGTAAATAATAAGCTTTTACAGACTTACAAATTTCCTTCCCAGATGGTATTATGGTGTTGCATGTCATCATTTAAAACTAAAAGACTTGTTTTGAAACAAAGTTTTTTTTTTTTTGGCTCAAAAAACCATTTTTTATATATACCTTTCATTTAGTTTTATTCCAATTTTTTTATCCATTTTTTTTTTCAAATTCTAACCACTCTTACTTTATTCTTTCTATGGTAATATGTTATTTATTTTTTAATCCTCTATAACCCTGAATTATAAGACCCAATATTACATAGATCCCTGTTTGACTTGTCTTGAATTCCTTTTTAAGCCACTACAACTTATGGAGTACATAAGTACATTATAGTGTTGTGTATGCCACTATACTTGACATTGCCCCAACTTTTATGTTTTGTGCGTCAATGCTCTAAAGAGCCTAGGCCATAACATATCTCATTTCTTCCAAGTCAACCCCTTATCAGTTCTTGTAATAAGCGTTCAACTAGAAATTCAAATTTATCCTCAAAACTTTATGAATTAGTGGTCATT